TATGACTCCATTAGCGCCGGCGAATGACCGGGTTTCAGGACTGGGACGATGGTGGCTCGTCGCCACTGGACCGGAATCGTGCCGGCTGTCCGGCTGTGGTTGATGCGGCGGAGAGGGAATCGGAGACACTTCGTCGAAAGATGTCGTAGCGCCTCGCTGTAGACTTCGTTTGGTCCGGGGCCTTGCCGTACGGTGTGCTACGCAGCGCTGCACGCAGTTCCGCTTGATTAAAAGAGGCATCCAGAGAGAGGGGAGAGAAGAAACCTATCGAAGATGAGGCGGCCGACTCGTTGTTGTTCTGCGGCCTAAGAAGGGAATGGAGAAGAAATACACAAAGACTTGTTTTCCCCGTTATTTCTCGTTGGAAAACCCAATCGCCTTGCGAGGTGGGGAGGAATCCAAGATTGAGTGCATCCGCTGCTCTCCTTGCTGTCCTGAAATTATTCTTGCGGCCATCGTACATCAACGCCGTTGTGGGAGATGGAATTGATGTCTTTTTACGTCCGGAATCGTTTTTTTAGGCGAGTGGTTTGCCTGGGTTTAACTTTCTGATGCGATGCCGATATTTGCTGCGCGAGCGCTCTCGGAGTAGGAGGAAGAATTGGCTCCTTGTCCGTTGCGTCTCTGCTTCACGGTCGGGCGTCGGTAACTGCAGACAGCGGGCCTTGCTGTCGGTAGCAATCCGCTCTGCTTTCGCAAGGGTTTCACCCCGGAGCTTGGGATCATCCTTGTGCATGCCGCGGGGTCAACGCCGTCGAAGTGAAACTGCAAGCGCTCTCGTAAAAGCTTTAATGCCGGTTGATTGCTTTTTGTAGTCGCATGCTGGAAGTTGTGCGTCGAGGTTGTTGGCGAAGGACTCCCACTTGGAATTCCACCAGCTGTAGAAAACTCGACGTACCGAAGTGGGTGCCGAGGGCATGGTATCCTTAAATGCCTGATGCAGCGTGAATGTCAACACATAGTGGTCACTGAGCGGCGGCACATTGGCTGTCCAGTCGGGCACGGTAAGATGCCTTGACCATGTCCGGTCGATACAGGATCTCTCTCTTGCACCACGAGCATACTTTGTTTCACCAGGGGTGTTAACCAAGGTGGGTCCTGCATCCGTGCGCGGTTGTATAAAATTCAACAGCGGAGTTGCTTGGAGGGGTCTCCAGGAAGGGCTCCCACCGTGGGCGACGCACGTTGAAATCTCCACACGGAATGAGCGGCGACGAGACCGAGAGGCAGTTCAGCAACCGCCTAAAGGTTGTGTCAGTTGCGGCGGTGGTCTCATAAAGGTGCTCGCTACAATAAGATCACGGTTCTGGCCCAGCGCGACCCGGACCACCACCACTTCGAGGCTGGAATCACGTTGAAGAGTGATGAGGGGCATACGCTTGGAGCGGAGAGTTTTCCTCACTAGCACCGCTGCAACACCTTCCTTGCGGATACGTGATTGTGCATGGAGCACATACTCTCCAGCGTGCATGCTGGCGATCTGCTCCGACGACTTCCAGGTCTCCTGGATGGCTATCATGTCTGCTCCTTGCGCCATTATTGTTGCGAGTTTGGCCGGCGTCAGTGAGGGAACGGTCATCTGGAGTGCTGCTATGGGGCCTGGGTTCTGCTCAATGTCTCCGCCTCGCAGTAGCTTTTGCCTCTGTGCGTCACTTACGGCACGCAGACGACATGTGTAGCGCTGGTAAGCGCCGACGAAATCCGGCAGCAGTGAAACCCGCTCGTCCGTCGCATCGTCTGAATCCCAGTTGCTGCGATCCCCACTGCTGTCCGCACACTTCGTGCTTGCGTGTGCCCCCTGGTGACCGGGATATGCGTTGGCCCTTCGCGCTGTATGCGCTTGAATTGTCCTTTCGCGACTCTTCGCTTGTCTTGGCACCTGGCCCCGGCGGTGTACTGAATGCGTTGCTGCGCCATCTTGTACCCGCAGCCCGCTGCTCGCTCAGAACGATGAGTAGCACCTCCCTCGCTGACGGTAGCCTGCGAATTTCCTGGGAAACGGGGGACACTACTCGCACCCGCAAGCACGGGAAGAACGCATGCCGCACGGAGAGTTGTCGGCCCCTCCCGCTGCTCTCTGTCCTGCTAGGAGTGAGCGAATGACTGGTCCACCGCCGCCTGTTAGCGCTGCTGGCACGCCACCGACGTCAGCCTCGATTAACGCCACGACGCACGGTCTCCGACGTGGTGACGCCTGTCCGAGACAAAACGGCACGAGGGCTGAGCGAGCGCATCGCTGTGGAGTGTGAGCGTCGCAGGGGCGGCGTCCCGCGCTGCACCGTCGCCGTCGCCGCTCTCTCGCAGTCCCGACTGGCATCTCAACTGCGTTCGACACCGTTGACGATGGGCGACTGCTGGCTGGGCTCGGCGGGCTCCCGCGCCTGTGCTGTCGAGCCCAACACTGGTTGCGCAATCACCTGGGAGGCGGCCGCGTTGGGGTGAGTGATCGCGAACAATATTTCCGACAGCAGCTCCCTTTAGCCGGGGCAGCCCACTGCAGCACGTGGACAACACTGGTCCGAGGAACACTTGTTTAGACGGGTGTGAGCTGCTGCCGTGCGTGGTGCATGGACTATTTGATTGTGTGGGGAGGTGCATGGAGTGACGAATACTTCTGTTTGGCATGTCGCGGTGTGTCGGAATGATGTTCGGAAAACATGTGAGGGGTTTTGTGTGTGGTTTGTGTGTCTTCTCTGGTGGAGCCGACATGTGTGCGGGGATTGTGGCATTGCTGGCTGACGGTTCCACGTTACTTTTCAGCATTCCTGGATGTGCTGAGGAATGACGGCTGGCGACCAGCGTGTTGGCACTGCCGGTGGGAATAAGTACACGAGGAATTGGCCATTTTCTCTTTCCCATGCTGGAGCCGATGGACTGGCACGAGGGCACCGGCTGCAGGCGGTCGTGCCAGCACGTGTGAGCAGCGGATCCATGCACACACAGACGCTCATCGCAAGAGCTTGTGTGATCACAGTGGCTTTTGTGGCGTGCTTTTGTGGGCGTCAGCCCGTCGGAGAATGTGTGAACCAAACGGCTGACGGAACACGAGGAAAATAAGTGCGTGCACTGTGCCGTGTTTCGGCGTCGATGGCAGAGCGACAGGAGGCCCGTGCTGGCAGCTGAGATCTTTGCGTCGCGAGGGATGTCCGTGTTGATTTTGGATCGTCGAGGGTGAAGTGAATTTGCTGCTGCCCGTGTGTGTGACGACTCCGGCGGAGGGCGGACACAAAAGGGAAGGATGCAGGCGCTGCGTGTGTGTGCAGGTGCCATGCAACAACGTCACAACAAACATGCTGCGACTCGGTGACCCTCACATCGCTGTGGTCCTGACGAGCAGCCCAGGCACGGCCCGCATCGATGCACTTAGTGGACGGAGTGAGGCGTCTTTTGAGGCGCAGCAGGGAGCAGGATGTGTTGACGCAGCCACGACGTGCATGGAGTGTAACGACGGCACAGCCGGCTGTGGCTGGTGGAATAATTACTTCTCGGAGGCAACAGAGAGAGAGAGTGAGTGAGTGAGAGAGCTGCTGCTGGCGTCGTTGCTGCCTTTTGTGGCCTCCCATGCCGATTATTGTCTGTCCGCTGATCATGGGTGGTGTGCCTCCACTAGTGACGTCGTCTGCAGGCATTTCACAGCACCAATGAAACGCACATCGCGTCGCACGCTTTGGCTGTGGATATGGTGTCGTGCATGCAGCCGGCATTATTTTGCCCGACTCCTTTTCACTGCCTTGCGACAAATAGATGCGTCGCCGCCCGAGTCATTCACTGCAGCTCCGTGTGTTGTACTGCCAGCACAATACTCTCGTGTTGTCTGGCGCCTGGCTGACAGTCAAGCACCACTGCGCTGGGAAATGCAAGGATGTGGACTGCCGCTCACGGTGTTGGGCACCGCTGTTTGGATGCGGCGGCCACACGAGCGGATGTATTGTGGCAGAATGAAATGCGCGAAATAAGCGGAATCACAGCGACTGCAATAATATCAGCGGTGTGGCACCACGGAATGTGTGAGGGGGTGATGCATGATGAATCACAGTGGGCGGCATGCGAGGGAAGTGCACCGCGACGGAGCGTCACCCCGCCCTCAGGCTGCAGGGGAATGTACGCCCACAAGAATATATGGACGAGGCACCACCAAACACACATGCCCTTCTGTCCACCAATAAATAGGAGCGAAGGTGCGTTCTGGTGCGTGGGAGTCCACTCACATATTCTCATTTCCATCGCAATAAACGGTGAGGAATCAGGTGCCACAGCAACGAAGGAGGAAATAAAAACATCTATTGCAGCACTTTTACCAGCGAAAAGCAGGAACAACACAAATTGAATTATTGGCTGCACCAACACAATAAAAATTCACAAGAGAAGGAAACAGTTGTGCACACTGCAGGAACCCCCAACACACGATGCAGGCATGAAGGTTTGCCCTCTGCAAAGACAATAACAACATATGCAGACACCTTCCACCCTCCAAAAAGAAACACGAATAAATGGCTGCTTTATTCCATTCCTTGCGCTTGACTTTGCGTGTGCTGCTGCTGCTGCGGTGGTGGCTGCGCTTCCCGTGGACCAACAATCCACGTGGTGTGCGGTGATCTCTCCTTTTCATGTTTTCTTTGCTGTTGTGTTGCTGTGGGCGCTGCACCTATTCTCTTGTGTGTGTACCCTCCGTGAGGGGAGCAGACACGACGGACCGCTCTCGCCGTATGTACATGCGGTGGAGCCTTGCGTGCCGCTCCTGTTTGCTTCTCCCTCCTCCATCTGTGTGTTGGTGTTGCGGCAGGGCTGCGTGTGTGTGTGTGTGTGTGTGGGTGCCTGTTGCCGTGGATTGGAGTGTGTGTCGTGCGTGGTGTGCGGCGTACGGTGCATGCCTGGCTGCTGCCCTCTCCTCATTTGGTGTGTCCTCTGTGTGTGTCTGCCGCACCTCTCGTCTCCCCTGTTGCTCTCCATGTCCCTCACTGTGCAGATCAGCTCCACACCACCGAACGACCACACTCACGATGATGACGTGCCGTCTGTTGTGCGCCCTGTTGGTGCTCGCCCTGTGCTGCTGCCCGTCCGTGTGCGTGACAGCGACTGGTGAAGATCAAGTTGCGAACAGCCCCAGTTTATCGCCTGCTTCGCCAGCAGGAGCAGGTGTTCCGGGTTCAGCAAATACTTCCACGGCGCCAAGTTCAACAGGTCTGGAAGTCACGTTACCGGGACTTCAAAATCCGGACGGTAAGGGACAAGCATCAGGTAAGAGGACCGATACCGGAAGAGGTACAGGTGGAGTGGCTGATACGCCAGGGAATTCGGATCCAACAAGTCCGGCGTCTGATATAGAACAGGGAAAGGGTGGATCCGGTAGGTCTGGGAGTTCAGTTCCGACCGTCACGGTAGGGTCAAAGAGTCAGGGGGCCGGTACGGTAGAAATTCCGGGGAACGATGCGAAACAGCCACATGGTACGCCCGGTTTGGGAATGAAAGCAGATGCGGAGAGCCTTGATGGACAGGAACTAAGTACGGAGTCCAGTACGTCAGAGTCAGCAGAGCCGACTGAAAAGGTACAGGAACCGGCAACGATTTCCGGGACCGGTGGGACAGAGCCGCTGACACAGGCCAGTACTGGACAGACACAAAGTGGAAACCCCACATCACAAGGATCAAGTGCGGGAACCGGTGTGCCAGGGAGTCCAGATACACCAAGTCTGGAGTCTATTCCAAAACAGGAACAGGCACCAGGTGGGGCGACTGGTCGGTCAGGTTTACCAATTCCGACCGGTGCGGATCAGGCAAAAGGTGAGACCGATCCGTTAAGTAAACCGGATACGACCACGACGAATACGACGAATGCACCAGCCACAACAACGACAACCACGACGACCACTGCGCCAGAGGCATCAAGTACTACCACCACAGAGGCGCCAACCACAACGATCACCCGCGCACCGTCACGTCTTCGCGAAATCGACGGCAGCCTCAGCAGCTCTGCGTGGGTGTGTGCCCCGCTGCTGCTCGCCGTATCCGCGCTGGCGTACACCACTCTGGGCTGAAGAATTGTGTGCGGGCTGTGCGTGCCAGCACTCAACTGCGGGGACTTGTGTGCGTCTACTGTGGTCCGATGTACTAAACAGGATGAAATAATGATTGTGTTTTGCTTCACTTGCTTCCGCTGCCCTGCTGTGTGCTCCTTGCCGCTCCCCGCATCCGTCACGTTGAACGCACCCCAGACACACTCATATGCATGGCACGCACACAACTGTTTGCGTGGAATCACATTTGAGGATGGGTGCGTGCGCGCTGGAGCCATACTGTGCAGCCCTTTGTTTTGTGTGTGTTCACATTTTTTACTTCATTGCTGTTTGTTTAGCTGTGTTTTGTTTCTAATTGTTTTGTGTGTTTTCTGTTTGCTTGCTGCGGGGCGTTGTGTGTTTTTGCCCATTCACTGGTTTCAACTGCCTCATGGTGTGTGTGCGCTGCCGCTGCTGGGCTGCTGCCATTTGTGACTGTGCGGTGGCTGTGCGTGGTGTAGCGGCCGTGTCTCTCCTTTTGCTTCCGCTCTGCGTTGACGGGGAGTTAGTTTGTGCTGAAGGCTGCAGGCAAGTGACAGGAGTGATGGCGATGATGATGACTGGCCGTGTGCTGCTGGTGTGTGCCCTCTGCGTGCTGTGGTGCGGTGCCGGCGGGGTTGATGCGAGTGATCTCGAGAACAACGTAGTTGGCGGCTGCATGGCGTCGGGAGTGTTGGATGCTAATGGGTTCCATATGCCGAGCGGATGTGACAAAACTGCGCTGACGCTGCCTTTACGATCTGTCGTGTCCATCACTGCCGTTGAAGCTTCGACTGACCCATTGGTGAGTGGTACAGCAGAAAATAAATCGGATTTAGCTCCAACTTCAGGTGCTGATTTCGGTGGTGCCGGTTCTCCTCCTGGTCGCGGAGGTGAAGGTGGAGGCGGTAGAGACGACGGTGCTGGCGGTCCTGGTGGCGTTGGGGGTGCCAGTGGCAGTCAAGCTCGTGGCAGGAAAGCTTCTGGTGGCGGTGGTGGTGGCTCAAATGGAGGTTCTAAAGCACGTGTTGGTGGCTCTTTGAAGTCCCCTGCTTCGGATGTCAAGTCCCCATCTCCTGTTCTCGGTGATGGTGGCAGTTCTCCTGGGGCTCCTACAGGAAGTGTAGGTTCTGACGGAAGCAAAGGTTACATTTTGGGCTCCTTTTCTTCTGGTGGTCGCAGTCAACCTGATGTTGGC